AGACACCTTCCCTGTCAGAGGCAATCTCTCAAAATTTATAACTTCCATTAATCGCAACCTTAAATCTCTCCGATAACCTTATTGCATTCAAAGCATTTTCACATTTAGCGTGGGGTTTTTGTTGTTGTTGTTGTTGTTGCTGCCCTCTCCCTCTCTGCGGAGACGCGTCCACTGCCAATTCACACATCGGAGACTCGCTCCGGAGGGCAGCCCGTGATTGCACGCGGTCGTAAACAGCGTCGCCAGCACGGGACAGCTTTTCCAGTCGCCTCCCCCCCAACCCATAACACCCTCCTTGTAAACAAGGGCACGGAATGCCACGGATAGCGGTGCTTCGTCTCATCACGGAGGAGTCGCAAGCGCCGCCAGACTGATCACGCAAGAGCACACGGGTGCCTAGGCGCACGTGACCTCCTGCGGGACCTCGTGCACCTGCAACAACCTCACTCACCACACACACACACACTCAAATAAAACAAAGGCAAAGATTCCCCGTATAGCCTTAACAGTCTGTTGGGACAAGTGCTGTTATCAAGTAGCACCTATGAAGGTCAAAATGGTACATCAGGGGTGGGTGGCCAGCACCACGCCCGACCGCCTTTGTCCCCAGAGTGGCGATGTTTTTACACACAGCACCAGGTACTCATTTGAGGCAAAGTCGGCCTAGGGAAGGCCCAGGACCACCAGGGCATCCTTCCAATCTTGGAAGGATGCCCTGGTGGTCCTGGGTGTCCACCCACCACTGAAGTGGAAGAATGACAGGCGCATCTTACAGATGACAAGTCGATGGTCAGTGGGCATATCAGCTCCACGGTAGGTCCTGGTGTCAAGGACATGGGCCCGCATCCACTGTTCCGTCACTATGTAGTCCAGCAGATGTTCTTGCTTGGACCCGGCATGCATCCATGATGTTGTGTGGATGCGCCGATGCCGGAACAGCGTGTTGGTAATTACAAGCCCATGGGCTGCACACAAATCTAGCAGCCTCCTGCTGTTGTTATTGAGCTGATCTGGCCCATGCCTTCCAATCACTCCAGACCAGGTGCCAGTATCATGACCAACTCGGGCATCGAAGCCACCCAACAAGATAACTCTATCCCGAGGGGCCACTTTAGCTAGCACCTGTGACAGGTGGTCATGGAAGGCATCTGACTCATCGGCCTTGCCTGCATCCCTCCACGGATGTTTGTGGAGGGATGCAGTGGGGCATAAGTAACCATGACCACCACTCCTCGCCTCTGGTTGATGGGAAGGTGAGCCCAAAGTAACCTGGGGCTTACAGCTTCCCACACCTCACCGCCACGCTCCCACGCCCCCTTCATTCTTTTGTTCAGAAGAAGAGCCACTCCCTGTTGTTTGGTAGTCTCCTGCGCCGAAAAGAGGACTGTCCACCCCTCATGGTGTTAGGAGCCAGAGCCGGTCCACCGGACCTCCTGAATACCACAAAGATCCAGGCGGCATCGGTCCAGCTCCCGACAGAGGAGTGGCAGCCTCTCCTCCGCAGTGAGCGTTCGAACATTCCACGTGGCCACACGAAGTTTTTTTTGTTGTTTCTGGAGGAGCCCAGAGGGTAAGGATTCAGTCTCCTGGCTCCGCCAAATGGGGTTTGGCCAGGAGACGTCATAGACGCCTGTCCCCCCGGGGCCTCCGGCACAAGCTTATTCATAAAAAAATTTCTGTTGTGGTATAGCGGTAATAAATTGAAGGTGGAGGGGTTACCAGCCCCTCGCACCCATCCAGAGCCCCCTTTTGGCCACTGTGGTGGTCACAAACGCCATGAGAGGAAAAGGCTAATCGGAATTGGCCATCCCCCCACAGCACTGCCCATGACAACGTTGCCCGTCCGGCACCACGAGGAGGTAGGGGGTTGTTTTTGCCGGACCCTGACCACACACACACTCACACATGTAATTACACACACACAAGAACAAAAAGATCCCCCGTACAGCAAGTGCTGTTAGCGAGCACCTATGAAGGCCAGCACGGCACACGTGAGGGTGGCGAACACCACGCCCAGCCGCCTTTGTCTCCACACAAGCGATATTTACACATGGCACCAGGTACTCATTTGTGGCCGATTCGACCTAGGGAAAGGCCTCAGAACTAGTTCAGATAATCATCTGCAAAGTTGGCCAGGAGCGGGAATCGAATTCGGGTCGCCGAGTTAGGAGGGCAGCACGCTAACCGCTACACACACACACGCGTGCACTCACTCACTCGCACACGCACGCACGCACGCACGCACTCACTCACGCACGCATGCACGCAGACGCGAGCGTGCACACAGGCCAGGAGGGCACGCAGCGGCGGTAGGCGGACGGCGGGACGTTAATCAGAGAGAGTCAATATTATGACTCGGTAAATATTTCACTTGATATCTCAGTCTTGATATTGCGTAAACAATATTGGGTTTCTGGTATATTGTGGTTGATCAGAAGATGGCAACATTTATTGAGTTTGACTCTCACATCACTCATAACAAAAACTGCCCAACTCAAAGGTGGCAAATATATACGTGCGGGCGCTTGGTCTATGCCCAGACCAATCTCTGCCATAGGACAGCTGCCCAATGTTTATTTGAGTATGCAGACCCTTGGCAATGTTTAAGAACGATATCTACTTGGTATGTAGAGCATTTAAATTAGTACTATATATACTGTAAATAATGCAATCTATCAAACCCTCCATGACAGATTCATGCACACACACACACCACCGCAGCAGAGTACATGTGCATCACCAGCTCACCTACAGATATAATTTAGGCATACTTTGATTTCCAATTTTCCATTTCCAGTTGAGCGCAGATATTAAATTCCTCGCGAGTATTCCACGTTTGCCGCTTCACGGCAACTTTTTCCCCCAATTTTGCCGCGGTTCTCTTTCCCCCACTCCAGTTTATCTCGATCTGGCAGCCCCCCTCCCCCCACACCCCTGCCGCGTTCCCTCCGCTTGCACGACTACGGAGAGGCAAAACGCACGCTCGCCAAACGCTCCCCCCCCCCATACCGCCGCTTGCCCCGGGCACAGTCGGCATTTGCCGACGGCAGCCGGCCGTCTCCCTCCTAGGCTACCCGCAGTCGGGACACGCAGATGTCAACAACAGGTGGCAAGAGTAGAGGCCAATTTGAACCGCAATTAAAAACATTTTAAGGCCCCCCCCCCCCCAATTTCCAGGCTGGTTGGCATTGCAGCGACTATTAACACCAATGTCCCGGACAAGCACCCGATCGCCAGTTCCACCAAATAACCCGCGCTATTTAACCTCTGCGTTCACAAACACGGGTCCACCCGTGAATGGACCCCGCGCGTCTTCACGGCAACCCGTGTCCTACGCGACATTCGCAGTGCAATTACAGAGAGAGCCGTGGTGCACCATTACGAAAAATGCCGACCAGACCATTAACCATACAGCATTCAACCACTGAGAACTCTTACATTTCATGTAAGTCTATGGGTCTCTATGTGAGTCTATGGGTCTGCATGTGATTCTATGGGTGTGCATGTGAGTCTATGAGTCTGTATGTGGGTCTGTGGGTCTCTATGTGAGTCTATGGGTCTTTATGTGAGTCTGGGTTTATATGTGGGTCTATGGATCTCTATCTGAGTCTGTGGGTCTCTATGTGAGTCTATGGGTCTCTATGTGAGTCTATGGGTCTGTATGTAAGTCCATGGGTCTCTATGTGAAACCACACAGCAGTGAACCGCTGTGAATTCTGAAAATTCAACGGAGGCATTGAAGCTGGCCACTCCGCATCAACTGAAGCCATTTCCCCAATAAATAGTCGACTCATCCTGATGCACGCACGCACGCAAGAGACAGCGAGCGAGCCCGATTGTCAACGTGGGCTTCTACGCCCCACACCGATGAAGGATGCGCAATGCATCGTGGTCCAGTTTTGTCCCACGATGCATTGCCACCCGAACATATTTCACCTTGGCGCATTTGCAGGGTCACGTTGGGGCGCTCGGCGGACGGATGGGGCAGTGCCTCCCCGCGTTAGTGCCGCGCTTTGTTCTGCTCACGGAGCGGCCTAATCAAGATGGATTAACGCGTTCCCCTTCGCACGTTCCGCACCGACCTGGTGCCGCTAGTGTGGTGGCGCTTTCCACCACGGAGGAGCTACAGGTGTGGAGGGGGGAGGAGGAAGAGCGAATTAAGATGGATTGACGCCCGGCAACCGATTTAGGAAAAAAGCCTGTGAGCAGGTGCCGCAAATGTCATCGCCAGAGCCTCTTCTATTTGCTCTTCATTTCGCTGTAATCAATGTTAATAAACAGGGGCCACTTAACCCAGTCGCAACCGCTGAGCAGAGAGCCCGGGCTACGTTCATACGCGACCTTAATTCCAGCATCTCGCGGCCAATGTGATGGCAGTGCAGGGACCCACTGGGCGACGATCCCACCTCAGCTGCCTGGCGAAGAATAATTTGCGGGCAAACGCTGCTCTGTTTGCAATTAATTTATCTGGAATAGCGGCGAGGTGGCTTACAATGCTGTGCACACACGCGCACACACAAGCCGGGCCACGGTTAAAGAACCCCGCCATGCCTTTGCTCCTGCGGCAGAAGCGGCGCTTCTTTCCCAGGGGGAAGCACCGCAGTTTAATTTTGCTTGCACCGCCACCTACAAAGGACTCCAACGCACGCGAACAAACATTAGCTCTCCATTTCACCCCTCCCACCCACGCCCCCCGCAGCTGCTTTACAATTCAGATCACGAAATAAAGTAAATAAATAAGAAATATGTTGTCGTTTGTACATTACTATGATTTTTTTTATAAATAAGATCAACTGTGATAAACGTCTAAATCCACAACCGCAGGCTGGGGAAAAGCAGTGAGCCTGGCAGGAGGCCAGAGCTAAGAATCACAAAAAAGGGAAATTTGTCACCTTCATTTGACGCTCACGCGTTCAAAGCTCAAAGTCGCGTCCCTACGATAGGGTCAAAGGGCACCCGAATCGGGATCGCAAACAATGACCTCTGCCCATTGCCCGCAGGTCACCTCGGCACCCGGCTGCCCAGAGCCATGGCCCCGCTGCTGCCGCTAATGCTCTACCTCGTCATCCTGCTGTCGTGGCTGCCCCTGGTGCTGCCCCTCTGCCCGCGCCGCTGCGTGTGCCAGAATCTGTCGCCCTCCATGGCCACGTTGTGTGCCAAGAAGGGGCTGCTCTCCGTGCCGGCGACCGTGGACCGGCGCACCGTGGAGCTGCGCCTGGCAGACAACTTCATCACGCGCCTGCGCCGTCAGGACCTGGCCAACATGAGCAACCTCGTGGACCTGACGCTGTCGCGCAACACGCTCGGCGAGGTGGTGGCCGGCGCCTTCGCGGACTTGCGGGCGCTGCGCTCCCTCTACCTGGACGGGAACCGGCTGACGCGGCTGTGCAACGTGACGCTGCGCGGCCTCACCACTCTGCGCCTTCTCACCGTCAGCTCCAACCAGCTGAGCCACATCGCCAACGAGACCTTCGAGGACTTTATCACCACGCTGGAAGACCTCGACCTGTCCTACAACAACCTCGAGACGCTGCCCTGGGAGGCCGTGCAGCGCATGGGCAGCCTGCACTTCCTGGGGCTCGACCACAACCTGCTGGACCGCGTGCTGCCTGGCGCCTTCACGCATCTGCACAAGCTGTCGCGGCTCGACCTCACCTCCAACCGCCTGCGCACGCTCGCGCCGGACGCGCTCTTCCTGCGCGCCGGCGCCACGGCCGCGGCGGGCGGACCGCTCGCCTTCAGCCTGGCCGGCAACCCCCTGCACTGCAACTGCGAGGTGCTGTGGCTGCGGCGGCAGCGCCGGCAGGACCAGCTGGAGACGTGCGCCACGCCCGCCCACCTGGCGGGCCGCTCCTTCTGGGCGGTGGGCGAGGAGGAGTTCCTGTGCGAGGCGCCGGTCATCACGCGCCACTCGCCGCACCTGCGCGTGGTGGAGGGCCAGCGCGCCGTGCTGCGCTGCAAGGCGGTGGGCGACCCCGAGCCCGGCGTCCACTGGCTGGCCCCCGACGGCCGCCTGGTGCACAACTCGTCACGCTCCGCCTTCTACGCCAACGGCACGCTCGAGGTGCTGGTGGCCACCGTGCGCGACGACGGCACCTTCACGTGCATTGCGTCCAACGCGGCCGGGGAGACGACCACCAACGTGCGGCTCGACGTCGTGCACCTGCCGCGTGTCGTCAACGGGACGGCGGGCAGGCTGCGCGGCGGCGGCGGCGGCGCCCCTTCATCGGGCGCCGGCGACCCCCCGGGCCCCTCGGACATGGCGGCGCACAATGGGCACGCGGCGGCCGCGGCGGCGGCCCCCGGGATCAACGCGAGCGACGGAAAGGGACGGCAGTGGAAGGTGGAGGCGACGGATGTGAAGTCCACGTCGGTGCTCGTGAAGTGGGCCCCGAGCCGCGGCCTGCGGGGCGTGCGCATCTACCAGGTGCAGTACAACAGCACGGCGGAGGGGTCGCTCACCTACAGGCAAGTGCCGCGCGGCGCCCCGGCTTCGCTAGGCCGGCACGCCACACCCAGCACACCGCTCGCTACGGCCCTGGCGACTCGTCACATGCCGCCTGCCGCGATCTACCGGCCAGCGACCGGGGAAATATGTCCCTCTCGCTACGGCGGTGGCTACTGGTCACGTGCCAACCAACTTGAGAAAAAAATGAAGCTCCCCTTATAAGTATGAAGACGTGGGTCCATTTCATTGGTAGATACGAATAAATACATCACATTCAGGTCCTCAAGCCACAAGGAGGACTTCTAGATCAATGGTTTTCAAGAGCGAGTGCCACTTACTCGGGCTCATCAGTTGGGTGTGGCCTGTAGGACAAACGCTACGAGGTTGGCTTCATTTGTAGGTGAAGGCTTAACCCATGTGACCACATACCCCATGGGACCAAAACCGGTCCAGCGTAATTCTGATTCGACAAACATTGGGGGCCCTAATACGCTCTGGCTGATCGACCAGCGTTATTTAATTATGGGATATGAAACTGACCCTTGCCTGCTTCCTTACTACCCACCACAATCTGCCAGGAGCTCGCAGGGCTTACATTGTACCACCTTGCCGTGACGCACGCTGAAGGGGCCGCACCGCCGGTGTTCAGTGGGCGCTCGTTTTTAAAGAATGTGTGTAACCGGCCACGTGACACCGATGAGCCACAGAGGAGACAAAACTAGTCAAGCGTTTTGCTGCAGAGACAACTTTCACTGCAAATCCTCATGGGCCACCGGACTTAAAGTTCATCGTATACTTTTTTTTTTGCGAGGACACAGAACCACCCTCTCGTCTTTCATTATTTGATAGGAATCACGGAATAGATGCTCCAGCTGCCCACTTCTCGAGAGAAGGGCCACCGCCTCGCACATTCGTCCAATGCACATCTCCCGGCACGATGGGGCAAGCGTCTTAATAAAAACGCCTGTCTCCGTTCACCCAGTGGTTTAAATGGGTACATCACGGTTGGCCGATCAGCGGGATCACACGTGCGGTTGGGGGGGGGGGGGGTGGTGGGAGTGTAGGTACGACCACCTCTAAAAAAAAGTCTGACCAGTGTGGAATATTAGGCCAAAATACCCTCTCTGGTTCTAGTGAAGGCCCTTCCACGAGCAGTAGCGCTAGCCAGTAATTGTGGGGTGGCATCTTGACCCGTCGTTCCTGCTAGACGAGGCAGCGCGAGCGACCACGGTGGCGAGGTTTATTTCTTTGGCCGAGTTCTCGAGCGGACGCAACTCGGAGGCACGGCTCTTTTAAAACCGCAACGGTGAGAAACCGTTATCTCCGATGCCAGTGTTATTTTTCTTTCTCCCGGGCGAGTTTATTTTGACAAAGCACTGCGCGCTCACTTTTATTGGAGAAAAAAACCCCTCAAAATTACTTAAATGGTGAGGGTCACCTTCACGCGCTGTTGTGTTGGCCCAAAAACAAAAACGAACATTCGAAACTTTATAAACATTTGCTTTCTTTCACGATGCCCTTTTACTTCGGAGATTGCCTTTACTTGCGTCCCAATTCTCGTCTCGGTGCAACTACCGACCACGATGTGGCAACATATCAACCGTGTGGTCAACGATCATCACGTGACCACTCACAATGCGAACCACCCACCACCACTTAGCCCAGGTAACAACCCAACACCTACTCGCTCAATAACGACGAGCATCCACAATCCTGGGGCACAGGTGCCGCCGAGAAATCCCCACTGCCCCCGGCTGCTTCTTCCTCCGCCAAAAGAGTAGAACTGCCGTGGTACCACTCCGCCACCACACCCCCACTCCTCGCCCCCATCTCTCTATCAAGCGTCTTTATTTATGGATCTGGTTTCACGTCACAGCTCGTGTCAAGGACATCAACCCTCGCACAACTGATGATTCCAACCTTTTACCATCTCTGGCATCTCTCATTGACAGCTCCGTCCAACTGCTCGCGCTGTCCCCAACAACCGATCCATTTCCCCGCCGTTCTCCCATCTCCATTTCATCTCCAGCTGCGACACTCTCGCACGTCCCCCTGCACACCCTCCCCCCCCCCCCCAATATGTGCCACCTTCCTTACTTCCTTCCCATTAGACGTCTCACAAGAAGGGGCTTTTGTCACATTTTCGGCGATGAGAATGAATCCGTTCTGTGCTCACCTCGCTCGAGACGCCCTGCCGACGGCACTTAGCCTCGGCCGTTCCTTCTAGCAGAGAGAGAGCCTCGTTAATTAGCACGTAATCCCACTCTGGCGGGAGGTCCCGCGTGAAGCCGTCACGGCGCGCCCGCGCGTGATTATTACCCGACGACAACAGGCTTCCCGACACCACGCGCCGTCCGTCAAAACTGCAGGAGACACCTTCCCGCAACGGCGTTGACCCAGAGTTCATTCGCCACCGAGATGTGACGAGCTGTAATGAGCATGGGAATTAAAAAATAAAAACCCCACGCACACTTCAATGAAGATGAAACAGTTGTCCACGTCCACGCAAAAAAAAAAAAGAAGAAACCTCCGAAAAATTATACTCGCACCGTGGAAAAAGTCCATGAAAAAGTCCATTTTCCCCAATCTTGATTTCTCTTCCGAAAACAAAAATGCTGTTCGGAGTGAATGCAGCAGCAGACAGCTTCAAACACAGAGCGCTGGGCGAGGCACAGCGTAAAGTGCGAACCCCCCCCCCCCCCCCACTTGCGGCCGATGCCAAACGGCTTTATTTAATTTAGCGACAGTTTGCAGGACCGAGGACCCGCTGCAAGATTGACCGCCGCGGCCTCAGAGCGGCTCCGGAGGTCTCCCGCTAATGCACTTTCCGATCGATGGCAACAAATGATGGCGTTCATAATCGGTTTTTAGTTACGGCTTCCTTTGCGGCCCGCGGAGCAGAGCCTGCTCCATCCACGGCTCCGTTAGCGGCGGCGGTTGACGGGGGTGCTTTTTTGGCGGTCTGCGGGAAGCGAGGCCGCCAGCGCTCGCGAGTCCGCACAATCGGCCGTGCGAATTATTCACGCGCGGTGTCGCCACCGCCGCCGCCGCTGGCAACCGAGGGTTACTTTCACTCCGCCCCCCCCACCCCTGCTCCCAGGGCCATGTCGCAGCACCATCAGCAGCAGCAACAGCAGCTCGCCACGCAGACAAAAGCAGCGCTCGGCACGCACGGCGAAAACTCACTGGCGGATAAATTGCACAAAACAATAATAACGCGTCCACTTCAGGGTGACTTGTCAGACATCCGGACATTTAATCCATTTCATCCCCGACGTGTGCGCCCAGACAAGCGCGAGGGGAACACATTATTACAGGGGATCATCCAAAATAAAATGAATTGGTGAAATAATTGCCGTCTGAAGAATGTGAATCACAACTGGAGCATTAACGGGGATTTCTGGGTGAGGCAATAATGAAGATCCAGACACGGACGCAGTGGCCGTTAAAAATGTCAACCGCCCCCCCCCCCCCCCTTGGGGAAATGTCAATGGAATGCAGATCCACGTGAATATTTGTGATTGCACGCACGCCCCGTTTGTGTGACTCATAATCAGTTATTATTAGCGCTCCATTTCCAAGCGAGCAGGACCAGCATCAACGTGCGTTAACATGTTAATTGGTCTTTGATGTGTTAATCGTCCGTGCGCCTAATGCAATTTCCCTCCCCGTGCCCTCGCGGCCCAGCAAAATGATCTCCCTCAATGGCCTCATGGGATGACGGTCCATTACGCTAAACGTCCACAACCTAAACGCGGTCCTTTTTGCGAGCGCCCGCTCTCGTGCGAGGCCGACGCGACCCACAACGTCTCTCTCGCCGGGCAGCCGCAAGCAACTCTGACGACCCCCTAACATCGTCAACGAGCTCCGGGTACGAGCACAAAATGACCACGCCCCCACAGTGACCTACGACGCAGCAACAAGTACGACCGTCACGCCGCATTGCTCGCGAGCAAAGGCGCGCTCTAAAGTAAATTTCGAGACTCGTTATCGTTGCGGAAGCCTACGGACGGCGCAGGACGCGTGGCCCAGGCGCGTAGGCGGCACGGACGAGGCGAGCAGCTGCAAGAGACGACCCGCGGCGCGTTCATGCGGTCTGCCGCCTTCACTCCGAATGGTATTAACGACCTCTCTCCTTTGACCCCTCTCTCTTTTGACCCCTCTCTCCTGTGACCCCGGCGGGGCCCCAGGATGGTGCCAGCCCCCAGCACGGCGTGCCCCATCTCCGGCCTGACGCCCTCCACCGACTACGACCTGTGCGTCGTGGCCATCTACGACGACGGCGGGGACGCGCTGGCCGGCACGCGCCTCCTGGGCTGCGTCGCCTTCCAGACGGGCGCCGGCTGGGACGGCGAGTCGCTGCGGTGCTCCTCCACGGCCGCCGACGCCGGGCCGCTCTTCCCCGAGCAGCTCCTCGGCAGCACCATGATCATCATCATCGGGGGCATCATCGTCGCGTGCCTGCTCGTCTTCACCGTCGTTCTGGTCGTCGGGTACAGGGCCTGCGCCGCCAACGGCGACGGCGGCGGGTGCAAGTCCGCCACGGCCGCCAACGGACGCTCGCGGACGGGCGTCACGGAGGACGTCGGCGGCGTCGGCGGCGAGGCGGGCTTTAACCGCAACGGGGAAGCCGGCTTCCAGCAGGCGGAGGAGCGGCGGCGGCCCGACCCGGGCAGGAGCAGCACCGAGTCGTCGCTGTCCAACTGCAGCCGTGGGCGGGAGCAGCGGGAGGGCCCCTACGGCGCGCCCTGGCAGGCGAGCGCCAAGGTCAAACCGGACGTCGAGCAGCTGCTGAGCGCGCTCGCCGCGGCCGAGCAGCTGCGCTCGCAGGCGCAGCCCTTCTCGCCGGCGCGACGTTCGGCGTCCGTGCGCTGGGCGTCCGACCGGGACCCGCCGCACCTGTCGCCCGATGGGTGGCCGGGGCCGGATTGCGGCGGCGGCGGCGGCCAGAGATCGTCGACCGATCTGGGAGCCAAGCGCAGCCGCTCATTCGACGCCGGGAGCTTCCCGACGCTGCAGGACTGCAGCGCCCAGAGCAAGCGCATCAGCCACATATGGACCAAACGGAGCATGTCCGTCAACGGCATGCTCATGGGCCTGGAGGAGGCGGACCTGACCAGCCGGAGGGCAATGTTCTCCAGCTCAGACTGGATTCTGGAAAGCACTGTGTAGCTTCTGCCTGCGGTGCCGCATGCAGCTCGGAGATCATCTCTCTCTCTCTCTCTTTCAATTGGACAATTCATTATCGCTCGTCTCGCTCTCCCTGCAGGCAGCATTAAAGGCGGAGGATACATTTATTTTGGTTTATCCGGCCGACGTCTGCAGTAACGACCTCCCACGGTAGTAGCCCCTCCCCCCTCCCTCACACAATCTTTTCCCTCCCCCCCCGACCTCCCCTCGTTCACCCCGGTGGTGGAGGGGATGTCAAAGCGAGACCCTCAAGCCAACCACCACCCCGCGACCCACCCACCGCCTCCCCCCTCACCGCCTCCCCCCTCACTGCTCCACACGGCAAAAATCAATCCCGGGCGTGTTGTGTAAACCATATTGCGATATCACACTACACCACCACCAGATTTGGCGGTGCTAAAGCAATTAAGCGGACGACAGCTTATAAATCGCTTCGCTTCAAGAAGCCCCGACTGAGGATCTGGTTGTGTGCCATGCGCCCCCCCCCCCCCCCCCCCCCACTTCATTCCGGACGCTAGCGGTCATCTTAGGTTGCCGTGAAAGCCGCACGCACACGTCCCGGGCCTTTGCGGCTCCGCAAATCAAGTCAAAAGGCTTTCACAGCACGCGCGGTAAAATCAACCGCAGCGATCGCTCGCGACGAAGTCTATACCTCAACGCCGCCGCTGCCACCGCTCCACCAGGCCCGGCGGCCGAGACTCCAACCCACGTGTACATAACCCAAGACTCCGTTGGGGCAAGGAAGGTGCGACTCCTTTCTCTCTCTCTTTCTCTTTATACTGTCAACTTTGTACACAGTACAAACGCGTTGGAATTCCAAAAGAGACTCGATAACACCGTGGCCAAGCGCTGCCTTGCCGAGACGCGGATTCGACTCGATCCGGGAAACAAACCGGGGGGGGCGGGGGGGGGGGGAGTGAGATTGGACGTCGCGCTCTCTCCCGGAGCCCCGCGTTTGCTCTGTAGGCAATCAAGTCGCAGCGGCAATTCTGCGGCTCAGCTAATTATTGTCGTTAATTGGTTTTCTGCAGCTGTTTCTTAGAGTGACGCTAGAGTCGGGGGGGGGGGGGGGCCCGACTGCCCTCCTCCGCTCAATCGCTGCCACCGCCGCCAAACCGGACGGGAGCGGCCGCCGACGTCCACGAGCGGCGTTTACCGGCGGCCGTTCTCTCCGAGCGGTTAGAGTGGAACGCGGTCGCGACGCCGACGGGACGGCTTTCTGTGACAGCTGGAAGGTTTTGTACGTCGCTCGTGCCATCCGGTCTGTGCCACCTCTCCCTGCCCTTGTCGGTACCACCCATCTTCGGTGCACACGCGTGCGGCCCTGCTCTTGACGTGGTTTCCGCAATGCCTTGACGGTGCTTTGAGGAGCGCCGATTTCTCGCCGCCACCGCCGAGGGTTTTTCGTAGCCGCTTGCGGGGGGGGCCACGCGGAGCGGCCCCCCCCCTGCGCGCCAATCCTGCGGTGGCAAAACTTGTCGATTCGACAGGAAATCAAACGCGGCAGCAGGCGCCGGAAAGACGCTGCCCCCACTTGTGCTGCTCTCATCCCCGGACGTTCACCCTGGCAGGCGTGAGACGGGAAGACGCTGCGTCCCCACGGACGTCCCGACGCATCACCTTCATGCCGTGCGGCTTGCCGGAGAAATGACTCCCCCCCCCCCCCCCCCCCCCCCCCCCCATTTAACCCACCGCTCTTTTTAGACATTTGATGTGTGTATATATGAAGCCAAGGTAAAAAAGTAAAAAAAAAATGACAAACCAAGTCTCCGCGTCTGTCATTTCTTCACGAAACACGCTGCTCGACGCACCGGGGGTGTTGCGCCAATTTGAGCCACTGCAGCCACTGCAGCCACCGCCGTGGGGCCAGCGGCGTTGGCGCGTTCCAGCTGGGGTCGCGTTCAGGCCGGCCGACCACTTCGCTCTCCCGCCGACTCTCGACGGGCACTAGCTGAACCCCGCGCCCCCTCCCCCAACAAGACCTCCCAAAGAAGGTTGGGGCGGCTCGTTTCACTCCATGTCACGGCATATAAATTTTAACCTCGGGAGGCAGGCATAAAGTAGAGGGACATTAATCAGGTTCCTGCGCGTGCGTTACGGCCCTAATGCGTGCAACACGCAGGCGCATCCCTCTCCACCACCACCCCCCCCACCCACCCCTCCACCTGTTTCATCAACCCAACTGCTGCTGCTGCTGCGACTAAATATCTGCGGGCGGGGAGGCCGCGCGCCGCACAAAAGGCGCGGCGCCGCCGCCCATCCTAGCCGCACGTTCTTAGCAATCGCAGGACGTCGCCCAGCGCCTCCCCTCCCTCGCCGCCCCCCCCGGCTGCGCCCGCCGACCCACGGAGCCTTCGAATCACCGCCGTGGAGATTGTCGCGCGGCGCCGGCCACCACAGGCAGTCATTTTGGTCGAAGCGACAATCGCCTCCCCGCCAACTCATTTGCCTGCGCGTGGCCCTAATCGGTGCGGTGCAGTTTATTTTTGCTCGCGAACATTCACGCACGGCCATCGTCAAAGCTCTTTCTCAGCCCCGTCCGTCCGCCCCCCCCACCCAACCCCACCGTCACTTCAAGTAAGCTAAATGGCGTATTCCGTACGGGCGGGTGAGAAAATTATTAATGGAGATTTAAAGAAAAGGGAAGTGAAATTGCTTCGCCAGCAAATGGCAGCCGGCACCGTTTAGGACGAGCAGGCGCGACCTTGAGGAGGGGGTGGGTGGGTGGCAAGCTCGTTGGTGATGCTCGCCCCGTGTCTCTCCCGCACCAGGGGGCCGCTCACCCCCCCCCACCCCCCCCCCCACAGACTCCCCGTAAGAGCGGGCACCAACAAACGTCTTTGGGACAAACATGACGCGCTCGCTGGTTGGTAGCGGTGGTGATGGTCAGGCGATGGTGCTGCTGCTGCTGCTATAAATGCGAGACGCAGAGTGATGCTGCGACTCGAAACACGGCCGCACGCGAAACAAAGACGAAGATCCCCCGTGTAGCCTTAACAGACTCTTGGGGCAAGTGCTGATAACGAACAGCGCCGGTGTAGGCCGGCACGGCACACGAGGGGGTGGGGGGCCAGCACCACGCCCGGCCGCCTTTGTCTCTCCCGAGTGGCGATGTCTGCACACTGCAACAAGTGCTCGTTTGAGGCCGAGTCGACCTAGTGGAGGGAGGGCTCAGGACCGGTTCAGATAATTGTCACTGGTTGCAGCGAGCGGGAATCGAACTCGGGTCGTGGGGTTCGTCTCGCAGCGCGCTACCGCTCCCCATAGCACACACTCACATACAAAGATGCTCCCTCCCATTTTGTCCTCTACAAACTGCTGGGGAAATTCTGTTTGCGAGCACCTATTAAGCCCGGACTTGGTGCAAGAGGGCGATGCTTGTAGCGAGTACTCTGCCCCAATGATGATGTTTACACCCTGTGCCGTGGACCCATTTAAGAGCGAGTCAACCCATGGAAGGACCAGGACCGGCTCATATGTCCACTGACCGGTGGTGATGTAAGCCGTGGCCATTGCAAAGAGAAAGATCCCCGTATAGCCTTAACGGACTTTTGAAGCAAGTGCACTGAGCGAGCATCTAACCCAACAATACACGCACACACACACGCACGGTTGTGCAAGACACACACACACAGGTCGTGCATGACACACACACACACACGGGCATACATGACACACACGCACATGTCACACGTACATGACACACACACACACGGAGGTACATGACACACACGTACATGACACACACGTACATGACACACACGTACATGATACAGACGTACATGACACACACATGGGCGTACATGACACACTCACGTGCATGACACACGTACATGACACACACACACGGGCGTACATGACACACACATGGGCGTACATGGCACACGCGTACATGACACACACGTGCATGACACACACACACACGGACGTACATGACACACACACGGGCGTACATGACACATACACACGTACATGACACACACACGTACATGACACACACGTACATGACACACACACGTACATGACACACACGTACATGACACACACGTACACGACACACACGTACATGACACACACACGGGCGTGCATGACACACACACGTGCATGACACACACACGTGCAGACACACACACGTGCATGACACACACACGTGCAGACACACACGTACATGACACACACACGTACAATAATGGGACGCTCGCTCGCCTCTCAGCAGCCGCTCGTGCTCCTCCAGCCACCCGCTGGACCCCATCCAATGTTGCCCACCGTTGTCACACATCTCCTCCACATGTGTTACATCTCCTCCACATGTGTTACATCTCCTCCACATGTGTTACAATGATACATTCCCCTTGCTGGCGTTACTCACATTAGCGCAAGCCGCCTTTTACTCTTGCGGGCGGTTGGGAGCGGGGGGCCCACCCGCACCCCCCGCTGCCTCCTTAAGCAGCCTCGCACCGAGGGGAGTCGAACCCAGGATCCCTCCTGGGTGCCTTGCATGTCCGCTTCCTCCTCCTCTTCCGAATGACTTGCAGCCGCCTACTTACTGCACGTGGTTCGCAGTGCCGGATGAAGCTCGTGCGGGGCCTGAAGCATGTTATGAAGGAGCCCTAAAATAAAATAAAAACGTAAATATTAAAACACAATTTTTTTACTTGCATAGTAAAGTAATTGTTTTTTTATTTGCTATAAAGCCAGATAATACGACAAATCGCTAACCTTAAACACCCGGTCGTTCGTAAAAGTTGAAGGCGGTATAGTACTATAGTAATAGAGCAAGCGCAGAATCACTGAACCGGAATTGATAGCTTGAAAGCATTTAGCGCGGGGCCCTTCAAAGTGCGGGGCCCGTAGCTACTGCACGTGTAGTAGCTACTACACGACACATGTCGTAGTAGTTACCACGCGTGTCGTAGCTACTACATGTGTAGTAGCTGCGACACGTGTAGTAGTAGTAGCTACTGTACGTGTAGTAGCTACGACACGTGTAGTAGCTACGACACGTGTAGTAGCTACGACACGCGTAGTAGCTACTTTTGCTACTAAGAGAATCCGGCACATCTTTTTTTTGCTCCTCTCTTCCCCGCATTTGACTGAACACATCTCCTATCGAGGTGAGTAGATGCCACCATGGGCAAAGTCGACGATGCCAACGCTTTGTGGCCGAACCACGCCCCGCCCTCACCTCGGTCCGCCCCTTCCGCCAGAGACTTGCGGAAGGGATGGTGTGTTCATAATGATCGGTCTGAATGTGTTTTGATGTTGTCAGGAAAGCCTCGCCGAGTCTTAAAATTCAATTTCGAGAGAGTCCCGTGCCGGGATTTCACAGGTCTGCTGCTACTGTGTGCATGTGCGTTCCCAATTGAGTAATGTGCAGGTCACGTTTCAGCAATTGGGACGTTGGGCAATAATACCAGTCACGTTGTGAGATTTCAAAAAAAACAAAATTGCTACGGAGAAGTAAAAAAAAACACCCAGTGAAGCCGG